ATTTTGGAAAACAGTGCGGAAAATAAGTTTTCTAAATCACATTGTAACAATCTGTTTTTGTCACATCACATTGTAACAATCAACAACCTGAGACTTTTTAAATATTTTCTTGGTTTCAACCATAAGCCGTAACTTATATTAACATATTTTGTGTTCTTCGGCTAATTTATAAACAATTATACCATAAATTTGACGAAAGTTCTGTTATTACCTAAATCTTATTAATCGGCATTGGGTGTGCAGAATTTTTATTTAATATTCATTATAATCATTTATGGCGTAAATATATTTCAAAAGYAACTTTTACCTGTTATGGCTTACAAATAAACACAGACCGTTAAAASTTTTAATATGARCTGCTTTTCCTGGACCGTAAACAAYGTTTYTGASCTTGYGCATGATTGAGCAAATGCAAGAATAAAACYAAAAACTCATCTAGATRAATGAAAATTTAATGGTGACATTATTTTTTTAAACTAAATAAAACGATATTTATGTACTTACAGATAATCGAAAAATGCAAAATCAAAAATAATAAAATAGTAAAAATAATAAAATTTTAGCAAATTTCCACATTTTACATTTGTCTGCTGTGATTCTAAAGATGCTAACTAGAATATGGGAATGGTAATATTTAAAATGAAACATTACTTCCAGAGTTGATTTATTAGCCAGTCTTCACTCCCATCAGAATTTCCAATGTCTCACATAACTTGCACAAGTCCTGCGGGATCCTCAGTCCACTCTCAGACCCTGTTTTGCATGCTTCAGGGTGACACTTTAACGAGCAGTTGGAAAAATTCAGAAAATGCAACTCTGTCTGCCTTATTTAAAATCTGAACGGTGTGTTGAAAACAAACAGAGAAAAAAAATTTTCTCCGCTCTCCTTCCCTGGAATATAAATAGGCGAAATAATTTAGAAGCCATTTGTCACCGCGGATCCAGGATCCAGACACATCTTGTGCGGAAAAAACACTCCGGGGCAATATTAATTCGGGCTGTAAGAAATCCAAATATTTGAATATGCCAAAACAGCTGAAAAGGTCGCGGTTTCGTCTTATTGAAATGATTTATGTCTCTTTTTTAGGTATGATTCTTTCTCTACTTTTAATTCTTCTATATCAAAGTGCTATTAAATCTGTTGCTGAAACTGCAATGGTTTGTTCAAGCGTTGATGACAAATATTTCCTCTGAAACAACATTCATTGCCTTGTGTAATAATATTGACACAAATAATTCGTCGGCTTAAAGCTAAAAGTGACCAAGTCCAAAATTCTGTATTTGTGCTTGGTTGACCAAATAATTAAAAGAAAATATATTTTTTTTTTCAAAAACTGACGAAGTCCTTCAATGCCACCCAATTAGGTGCACTAAAATATGTTTTAATGACAAGGTTTCCAACATTTTCATATCATTTTCGGCTCGGTTTAAAAGTGCATCTACCAAAAATTTGTATTTTAGGTTTAGTCAGTTTTAGCTTTAAGCCCACGAATTATACTCGCCTGTGATTGGGCGTACTCAAGAATCATCTCTCAGACGTCTTGTTTTCATTGGCCAGTTAAAATCATAAAAGAAACCTACTCTTATTAAATTATTTGAAATTTGTTATTACAGTAGCAAATTTTCCATGGAAAAATAATTTTCTGCAGCTTTCTGATCGTTTGTTTGTCTCATTTGACCCTGTAGCTTGATTCTCAATTAATCCGATTTAGGCTCACAAAAGAGTTTATCTTTAGATGAAGGGCGTGTTATAAGCGATATATCAGGACGTAAACTGTGACACAGAGTTAATACAGAAATGAAAATAATAACGTGACCAAAGTAACTAACAAATGCACATATTTTCACATTAGAAAATATTTTATATGTATTTCTTGACAATT